AGATGTTTTTACTATGACACTGAATTTAAAAGAAACTTGTATTTTGGGGTAAAAAGCACAGTTATAGTAAGTGCTAATGTGTATTTTTTGATTTAAAGTATTTCCCTATTTTATCATGGGTACTAGAATAGTAGTATAGACAAAAGTATATAACTAAGGATTGAAAATACATATATTCATTTCTTTTTTTAAAAGGCATTAATAGTAGATATATAATTTTCTCCTGTTCACACTACAAAGTTTTGGAAACAAACTGCTGTAAGTGAAAAGATTACCTGAACTTTTATATTTCTAAAACCAAATTTTGTTTTTATGTTGAAGGTACATTTCAGTTGTCCTTCTTTGATTTTTAGGCCATTTCCAGCTCCGGCTGAGATACTGACGCACACTTGCATGATTTGGGGGACAGGAATTTGGGGACTTGGGGGGGGGGCAGTTTCAGGGGAGAGGCTTCAGACTACCAATTACTTTTTTATCATGTTGTCATTGCATTTTCACAGAGACATTTTTCCTGGGAAGAACAAATAATGGAGTCTAATTTTCTTATGTAGGAAATGGATCTGAATCTTACAAATTCTTGTCCTTCTCTGAGAAATGTTTTTTGAAAACAGAACTGTAAAAGCTGTAGGATGGGCTTTTTCATTTTAGGTGGCCTTTGGCAAGGAGTGTTGACTGAGTCAATGCTTGAGTTTATCATCCATTTCTAGTATTAGACTGTGAAAACATTTTTCTCTTTGTTTCTATTATTCTTGATCCCTTTTCGTTGTTAAATGTTACTTCCCAACAACTCTGCATATACATTTGTGTAAATGTTTTTAAGTGGATTTTTTAAAAAGACATAGAAAGGTTTCCAAAGCCCAGTGTGCTTATACACTCTCCACGAGCAATTCTGATATAGTCCTCTTTATTCCCACTCCTTATTTTATTTTTTCATTTACTTGGGCTAGTACTAATTTACAGCTCATGGTTCGAGACTTGAAAAAAAAAACACTTTGTGGTGTGATGTTTAAATGGCAGACCATTAGAAGGTTGTGGGAGTGTATTCTATTATTCAGTTTCACATTTGGTGTGTCACAATTTACTGTATTTTTTACTTTTTTCTGTTACAGTTTTTGCTAATTTATCAAATGGTCCAAATATTTTGACATAACTATTTCAGTTTGCATTATTTATTTATGATGCGTTTTTCATTGTCTTTTATACATTGGGATTATAAAGTATGTACATGTTAAAATTAGCATCTCAAAGAAGTCTGTTACTCATAGAGTGAGTCTCTATGTTGCAATGAAGTTTCATTTTTTGGTTACACATCATTTTCAACAATTTATACAATTGGTTATATTATTTCAAAATATATATAAATGGTTGTCATATGCCCTGTTTAATACCACCTTGTAGCACAGATACTGTCTTGTTATTGACAGATTTCTTAGAAATGCTGCTATCTCTGTTAACTAACATTTTGTTCAGTTTTGCCTCCAGTGGAAGCAGAAAGGTTTTTTCAGCTGTTGAATCCAAAATCAATATAATTTATTTATGTAAAAAAAATCACTTGATATATTTTTGAACCTTTTAAGTACTAACTTTTTATTTAGCAGAAGAACATGTACTTGCCCTAAATCCTTAAAATACAAATGCTATAAACCTTCGTATATCTTGAAAGCCTTACTGTGAATGGATGCAGATCTCTCTCTCTTGAGTCTATTTGTAATATATAAATAAGGATTACTTGCCAGGGTTTGACTTGTAAGGAACAGGGTTGAGAATGAAATTTAGTTTGTCAGCATGTTCTATATTCCTTGTTCTTCTTTATTTAACGTGTGTCTGAGTATGTAGGATTCTTTTTGACTTTTCACGTGTGATCCTTTGGCAGTGATGGAGCTGTTTCAGCTTGTTTACAGTGAGACATCAGTGGCTTTTGAAACCATAACCATCTTCAAAAACAATCACAAATTTCACATTTATTTCATAAACACACATAGATGCTTCATCTAATGTGCTATTAAAATAAAACTGTCTGTGCTTGTAAAAATTGATAATTAGATTTTAAAATCAGATTTTTAATTTAGTGCCTATGCTATGCGTTTTTGAAACTTTCACAGAGCCTTGCAAGAGATGTAAATATTTTTTCTAGGAAATCTATTTCTGATTGTTTTGCTTGACTTGCAACTAAACATGATTTGCCTTTTTCTCAGCATGAGCACTGTTTTGGCCTGTAGCTTAACTTTATTTCATATTGCATACCTTTTACCCAAGAAGCTACTGCTGTATGAACTATGCATCAATTTAGCACCATATGGGAATTACTGCAGTACAGCTGGCTCTCCGTATTCACAGATTATTTATTCAAAATCCAGCCATCCATAACTTGGAAATATTCCTCTTTCTTCCCCTGAAAGAAAAATCCACAAAAGTAAACTTTGATTTTGCCATTCCATATAAAGGACACAATTTTATTGCACTATTGTATGTAATGGGACTTGAATATCTACAGATTTTTGTATTCAAGGGGACCTGGAACCAGACCACAGCAGATACCAGAGGTCCACTATACAATTTCGCTCATCCCAAATATCAGACAGTGCTCTTTTTTGTTTTTGTTTTTAATTTCCCATCTTTCTCCAACACTGGGATGCAAATGTAGTGTAACATTCTGTGTTACTTAGGTACAATTGTCTTAATTGATCCATACTAGACAACTACTGTCAACATGTTTCCATCGCCAAGGCCAGCAGACTCTCAAAAAGTTCTCTGTTACAATCTTAACAGTTTATGCATATCATAAATAGTAAATTTGCTGATATGTGTAATTAGCAAAATTAAATACCTATGGTCACATTTTTAGACCCTCAGATTATCAATTTATTTTTTGCTGTGAGAGAGGATGCTTTTAAAATTAGGCTTCTGATAATTTGCTTTAACGTTCCTTAAGAGGTCATCCTTTTAATATTCTAATGACTACAAGTGTCATTATTACTCAAGTCTGCTACTCCTCTCTTTTTTTAGAAAATGCAGGTACATTTGCATTATACTTCAGTATCAGGGTACTGGGTATTCAAATAATTATAGTGAACAACAAACCGACCAGCATACAAGGAGCTAAAATCCAGATGCTGGCCAGTTTGTTGAATGTAAAGTAATCTTAACAGCCAAACAAATGTGTTGGTACACAAGAGAGAAAAAATCCCTCAAGAGATTTTGTTTCCTGTCATAGTCACTGCGAATCGTACATTTGGTAATCTCTGCGCCTGCGGAGCAATTACCAAATGTACGCATTCGCAGGTGACTACTTGGGAAACTACAGTTACAGGTAAGCAACTTATAATTTCACCATATCGATGTTTGTACATTGTGAACAGCTTTAATTGTCCAGAAACCATTATAATAATTTAATATATCAATCATCCTCAGTGTTTACAGCTTTGTGAATTGTCTCTTCTCTGATAAATGTCCTTTCTTTTTGGGAAGTAGGATATCTCTGAGACATGACTGAGTAACTTTGGCCAACATAGGAACGAGACATCCTATTAGGCTGCACATGCCTTAATTTTCATTTACCACTAGTACCACAAATCAAGAAACGTATCATTGTCTTCTCTGCCATCTCAGAAAAATGGAAATTTATCAGAGATGAATGTACTTCTCACCTCTGTACACCTTATTACAGAGAAAAATACAGATTTTGGACTGAGCCCTTAGTCCATGTCTCCACTATGGTAGCCCTATGGTAGCAGAGAATGATAGCAGTAATTTCTAGGTAATTTTGATCAGTAGATCCTATTTCCTTAAAAGATATATATATAAAAGAAGAATGAAGATGACCAAATGACTTTCTCCAGAGGGGAAACCATGACAAAATTCTAGAAATTAATTAAAATGATCAAAGGTCTGGAGACTATGCCCTATGAACTGGGTGTGTTTAGCCAGCAGAAGAGAAGGTTGAGAGGAGACATGATGACCATGTATAAATATGTGAAGGGAAGTTCAAAGGAGGAGGGAGCAACCTTGTTTTCTACTGTCCTGGAGACTAGGACGTGGAACAATGGCTTCAAATTACAGGAAAGGAGATCCCATGTGAACATTAGGAAGAACTTCCTGACCATACAAACTGTTCAACAGTGGAACTCTCTGCTTTGGAATATGGTGGAAGCTCCTTCCTTGGAAGCTTTTAAACAGAGGCTGGATGGCCTTCAGTTAGGAATACTTTGATTGTGCTTTTCCTGCATGGCAGGGGGTTGGACTAGATGGCCCAAGTGGTCCCTTCCAAATCTGTTATTCTATAATTCTATGATTTTTGGAAGCATGATACTGAGTTTTACACAGGTTGTTGCAAAGGCTAATTGCCTAAATTATTATTTTGTTGCAAGGGCTAATTGATTAAATTATTTTGCTGACTATTCTTTATTAATTAATTGATTGATTATATAATAAAATTAATTTTCAAATCAACAATTCTGAGACATTTAAGGAAATATCAGACGGCCCAGCCAATTTACAATGAGGAACAAAAGTTCACAATTTTACAGGTTTCTATGTTCTTCAAAGATCATTTGTTTTTATAACAGTTCAACTTTTCAGGACCCAACAAAAGAGTTCCAGATGTATATTTAATTCTTAAGTGAAGTTTAAATTGCCTTTCTGATTTACAGCTCAAATAAAGCACTAACTGATTAATATGTCAATCTAACATTACATCAGAATTTTAAAAAGTTAGAGTCAGGGTATGAATATTTGCTTTTTCTGATTTAAGGGGAAATTTCAGGGTCCCTACTGTGCTGCACCATGATTCAGTAGAAAATAGCATGGATTTTTTTTGTTCCAGTACATTAAAAAGCACATCCGTGAAATAAAAAATATTTGCTTTTGTCCTGACATACATTTTGAAAACAACGATTTGGTGAAATAATTTACAGTGTTTTAAGTGAAAACACTGCAGGTGAACTGTGTAAATTCTGCAGCTGGACCTAGCCTGCAGAGTATTTTAAACTAGAAGCAGCTCCATGGCACATACAGATGTGAGTCACACATCCCCGGTAAGTGATGCCAGTTTCTAATGGAGATGGTCACCTTCTGAAATGCTGTTTCAAACATGCTATTTGTTCAGTTAGATGAATGAATAACTGCATGATATCAGGAAATAGTTAAGTGGCAGATATGCATGCTTGTATTTAGCCATGAAGTGAGCACCTTATACATATTAGCACATTAAAGAGTTTGAAGAGCACAGCAAAGCAAAAGTGAAGTGAGCTGCTCAAATCTATTGAAACAAAGCACAGACCTGCATTTCCTTGAAGACCAAGACTATCAGATATATTTCTGTGCTACTATCATACTTTTTTCATCACTCCCTGAGCACTTTTGCATAAAGGTGTGGCTGTTAAATTAAAATCCATTGTGTATTCAGATGATTGGTGAGACTTTCTTTTGGATGTATGGAATCCCTGATGGGATAATAAATTTCAAAATTAAGCATCCTGTACAGCTAAAGAACCAATTTAAAAAACAAAAACAAACCAAGAGTGAAACCTTTTTTTCTTCCAGTATATTACATTGGAAAAACATACGCCTGTGAAATAGATAAGTAATTGTGATGTGGGCATATCAGAGCTAGTGTTAAAAAACAAACAAACCAAGTATAAAGGAATATGCAGTAGTTCTTCTGAAACTGATTTATAGCTATCCTAAGATATGTAAGAACATTGTTAACTGTTGTCGAGGTGACTTATGACGGCATTCTGAATGAGCTACCTCCCAAGTCATCCTATCATCAGCAGAGTATACAGAACTGAATATCAGCCATACCTTCTCGGGGTGTGTTTAATGCAGTTGACACCGTTTTTAACTACAGTACTGTCAAACGACTATGGGATCCTGGGAGTTGTAGTTTTACAAGATCTCAACCTTTTTTTTCTACCAGAGCATTGGTGCCTCACAAAACTACAAACTCCCATGATTCCATAGCATTGAGCCATGACACTGGAAGATTGATATTAAATAGCATCAATCTTCCAGTGTAAACACATCCCTGTATGCTCCATTATTGCTGATAAGTTTGTCAGTAATAAGCACCCTGTAGGCTCGTCCAGATAGGTAATTCAGGTTAACATGAGAGGCACATGTCAACTTAAATCCTTGGTGATATAAGGTTTCCTCAATCACATTTTACACACCACACAATTATAACGCTTTGATACCGCTTTGCAGCAAGTTCATGCTATGGAATTCTGGAATGGGTTTCGTTATTTTGAATTGCATGTGACTGTATACTTCTTACACAGGAGTGTAAGCAACTGAGTAATTACCAGCTACTTTCTGTACTAATATTTATTGTGTCAGCGAATAGAGAATACAGTTATAATGTATAAAAAAACACAAAGTTTTTTGTTGTTCATTCGTTCAGTCGTCTCCGACTCTTCGTGACCTCATAGACCAGCCCACGCCAGAGCTCCCTGTCGGCCGTTACCACACCCAGCTCCTTCAAGGTCAGTCCAGTCACTTCAAGGATGCCATCCATCCATCTTGCCCTTGGTCGGCCCCTCTTCCTTTTGCCTTCCACTTTCCCCAGCATAATTGTCTTCTCTAGGCTTTGCTGTCTCCTCATGATGTGGCCAAAGTACTTCAACTTTGTCTCTAGGATCCTTCCCTCCAATGAGCAGTCGGGCTTTATTTCCTGGAGGATGGACTGGTTGGATCTTCTCGCAGTCCAAGGCACTCTCAGAACTTTCCTCCAACACCACAGCTCAAAAGCATCGATCTTCCTTCGCTCAGCCTTCCTTATGGTCCAGCTCTCACATCCGTAGGTGACTACAGGGAATATCATGGCTTTGACTACGCGGATCTTCATTGCCAGTGTGATGTCTCTACTCTTTACTATTTTATCGAGATTGGACATTGCTCTCCTCCCAAGAAGTAAGAGTCTTCTGATTTCCTGGCCACAGTCTGCATCTGCAGTAATCTTTGCACCTAGAAATACAAAGTCTGTCACGGCCTCCACGTTTTCTCCCTCTATTTCCCAGTTGTAAATCATTCTTGTTGCCATAATCTTGGTTTTTTTGATGTTTAGCTGCAACCCAAAAACAAAGTTTAAAACTTGGCATTATACTAAATTTCCTTTGACAGGAAGCTAGTCACTTGGAGTGCCTCTAGTGTTGCAGTAAGCAGGTCCTCCACTGTGCATGTGGCAGGGATCAAACTGCATGGTAGTAAGAGGTCTGTAGTTTGCTCTTCACACTTGCAGGTTGTGGACTCTGCTTTGTAGCCCTATTTCTTAAGGTTGGCTCTGCATCTTGTGGTCCCAGAGTGCATTCAGTGCCTTCCAAGCCAACCAGTTTTTTGTGTGCTTCGGAGGAGGTTTCTCAACCAGTATCAGCCATTGATTGACTTCCGGGTTTAACCTGCCACTTTTGGACTCTTGCTTGTTGAGGCATTTCTGTGACTATCTCTGTAGATCTTAGAAAGCTATTTCTTGATTTAAGATGTTGGCATGCTGGCTGATAATCTGTACAGAGGATGGGCCGGAGATGTCAATGCCTTGGTCCTTTCATTACCAGCTGCTACTTTCTGAAGGATATCATGTGATGCAGTACCGGCTAAACAGTTATTTACTTACTTAGGCGATCCCTTGTTGTCCGAGTAGGATAATCCTCCAGGGTGGGTCCATAGGTGACTATGGAGCCCTGTTCTTGATCTGCATCATCTCTCGCAGTGAGGGCATTGGTTTCCAGGTGGAAGGTGGTCCCGGTCGGGGTTGGCTTGACGCGCCTTCCTCTTGGCATGTTTCTCTCTTTTGCCCTCCATTCACGCCTCTTCAAATTCTGCAGCAGTGCTGGTCACAGCTAACACAGCTGACCACAGTTGAGCACGGCTAAACAGTAGACAAGAGAGATTTATATATCTGTGGAAGGTCCAGGGTGAAGAAAAGAAATTATCTATTGGATGCAGGTGTGAATTTTGCAATTAAGCACCTTGATTAGCATTGAAAAACCTTGCATCTTCAAGGCCTAGCTGATTGCTTGGGAGAATTTTATTTATGTATTTATTTACAGTGTTTATATTCCACCCTTCTCACCTTGCAGGGGATTCAGGGCGGATTACAATGTACATATACATGGCAAATATTCAATGCCATAGACACACAACATATATACAGACAGAGGCTATTTAGCATTCCAGGTTTTCATGAGGGTATTCTAGCCACCAGGGGAGCTGTCCCTTCACAGACCATTTTGTGACACTGATGAAGTACTTCCTCATTCTTTGCATGCCTGCTGGAGATTTTTATGGCCTCGTAAATTAGTTAAATTTGCCTCCCCACATAAGCAGTACCTAAATTTCCTACTTGACAGATGCAACTGTCTTTCGGGCTGCAAAGGTCAACAGCAAGCTACACAAAATTGGTCGGAAGCTCACTCCGACCCAAGCTGGCTTCGAACTCATGACTTTTTGGTCAGTAATGATCTTAATGCAGCTGATTCCCAGCTAGCTGCGCCACAGTCCTGGTGCACCCTTTGTTGGGAGGTGTTAGCTGGCTCTGATTGTTTCGTGTCTGGAATTCCCCTGTTTTCAGAGTGTTTTTCTTTATTTACTATCCTGGTTTTAGTTTGACTTAACACCTCCCAACAAAGGATTCCCCCAGGCAGAAATCGGCCAGGTCATGAAGATGCAAGGCTTTTTAATGCCAATCAAGGTTTGTTT